TAGCAGTGTGTGTGTGTGTGTGTGTGTGTGTGTGTGTGTGTGTGTGTCTGTATGGAATATTACTCAGCTATATAAAAAAGAATGAAATAATGCCATTTGTAGTATTGTGGATGGACCTAGAGATTATCATATTATGTGAAGTAAGTCAGACAGAATGACAAATATCACATGATATCTCTTACATGTGGAATCTAAAATAATGACACAAATGAACTTATTTATAAACCAGAAACCAACTCACATAGAAAACAAACTTACAGTTACAAGGGGGAAAGGGGATGGAAAGGGATAAATTGGGAGTTTGAGATTTGCATATACTAGCTACTATATATAAAACTGATAAGCAAAAAGGATCTACTGTATAGTACAGAATATTAAGTATCTTGTAATAACCTATAATGGAAAAATATGAAAAATAATATGTATGTATATGTTTAATCGACTCACTTTGCTATGCATCCAAAACTAATCCAGCATTGAAAATCAACTATACTTCAATTAAAAAAACAAAAGAGAGAAACTCCATATCCTCTAAGGAGAGAAAACCTCTCCTTTTCCCCCAAACTCTTAAGCCCTAGGCAACCACTCACCTAGTTTCTGACTCTACAACTTTGCTTACTCTTTAATTTCATATAAGTGGTATCACATAGTATGTGGGCTTTTTTTATTACTGTTTTCTTATACTTGGCATAATGTTATCAAGGTTCATCCATATTGTAGAATGTGTTAGTACTTGACTCCTTTTTATTGACGAATAATATTCCATTGTATGGATATACCATATTTTATTTATCCATTCATCAGTAGATGAATATTTGGATTATTTACACTTTTTGGCTATGACAAATAATGTTGCTATGATTATTAATGCCATAGTCTTTAAGCCTTAACAAAGCTGCCTGGAGTTTATGTACCATTTAAGGTAAATACTTTTGCTGATTCATATTTTTATGAAAAAAATACAATTCAAAATTGTAGATGAGTCTACAATATCCAAACAAGGAACCATAAGTTTACTATTAGCTTCCTTCTCTGAAAAAGAGAAATTCTACTCATTAATCTCATAATAGAATGGTTCTAACTTTTCAGAACATTGACTAGGTTTTATTTATTTTTACTCCATATACTTGTCCAGATTCTAGTATATATTAGATGTTCAATAAACCTTTGCTAAGTAAATAAATTGATTTAAGTAAAATATATTTACTAGAAGTGGTCTGCACTCATTAAGAATAAATAAATTTGCTTCAATTTCATCTTCTTCTAGATGATTGGCCTTTTTGATTGGGCATTACCAAAGACACCAAACAGTGGAGTCTAGCTGTGGGAACCTCTTCCATGGTATACAAGATAGCATTATCTTTTTAAGATGTCCTTCCCCTGAAGTAGTTAAGTTCCCAACTCTCTGAGGGAATGTATCTGGATTTATTGAGTCTTTCGGATAATATTTGATCTTTGTTTTCCATTAAGAGTGTTTATAATGCTTCAGAATGTCCTCTGCTGAGGATGGAGACTTTCAACAGGTATTTCAATTTCCACAGCAGATCGTCACTCTTCAGACAGATTATTAGAAACTCCAGCTGACCCCAGAGTTTATCTAAGAATCCAAATTCCATTATTCTATGCCTATGAGTGGCTCTGGGAATTGATATAATCACTGACTTTAGTCTGTTACCTGTAATTCACAGCTCTGTCCTGATAAGAGAAACATCACCTTGGTTGCTGATGTACATTTCAGCTTTCCGCTACTACTTTAACTTCTTTTCTGTGACCCAGATCCCTTGCTTGGATCTGTGATAACCTGATAGATCTCATCAGTTTCATTTCTCTGAAGGGATTTCTAAGGTTTTCTCTCTCTTGTTCATACACTAAATGAACCAAAGATCCCCTCTCCTCATGACAGCATCCCCTCTCCTGCATGATGCTTGCCTTCACTTCTGGGAGTCCTCCTGCCATTCCTCCAGACAGGAAAGGATTAGACAGAGTTGGCACACACCATGCAACCTCTGTTCGCTGGAGGAGCATATCGTATACTTGCATGAATTTCTCTTTAAATCTGCTCCTACTTACTCCCGAATAAATCTCATCTCTTCATTGTTACGTGAATGAGGTTCCAGCATGCTTCTCAGATGAGACAGTAAAAAATATTCTTACATTTACCTTCATTGCAAATTGAATGGATGGATGGAAGGCTCAATCATGTTCATGAGGCTGTTCCAAATATATTTATATTTCAAATAAATAGGCATATCTCAAAATTAACTAGTTGGAATTTTAGGCTGTTTCACTGTATCACTGATGAACCTGCTTATTCATTGGTAGGTTTGGCATTTAAAAAAAATGTTCAGCAAAATTAGCAGCCTCACCTTATATTTAATATCACATATTTGACAGCTAAATATTAACTCAAACTTGAGAACTTTATACTGAGCATTCATCATAAAAGTATTTTTCTTGTAAGTACTTCTACCTTTATCTTCCCTTGAGATGCTAAACATCATGTTTAAATCTCAATTCCCATTATAACTATTATTTGATGTGTGTGAGAGTATGTTTGTTTCTTTAGCTTTCTGATGTTTTCTCTTTCTCTCTCTCTTTTTTTCTAATATCCATTCCAATGCAACTTGGTCATACCATCAGTAGCTACTTCTGCCAATAAAAACATTTATTGAAGTCAAACAGATTTAGTTCCTGTTTAGTTACGTGACTTCTAATTTTCTTTGAGTGTGTTTCCTCATCAGAAAAAGGAAACAAAAATTAAAATAAATTAATGTGAGGATTAGAATGAATGCTTATAAATAACTAGCACAATTTCTGAAAATAAACAGTATCCAACTGACATACCATTATTATACAAGTATATTTTATTAAAACAGTCATTGCATTTTTTTCTAACAATATTTCTCAATAGAAAGAATGTCAAGTGAGAATGATGTACTTAAAATTCTTATTTTACTTAGTTGAATTTTAAACAACTCACCGCCACTCATTTGCAGACCCCTTCTTGGCTCAAAAGAGCAAAATACAAACAATTCTTATTTTGTGCTCTAAAGATGATATTCAAGGTAATACTATTTTTTAGTTGTTTTGTTTTTTCCTTTTTCCTGCAACCTTGTAAGGTATAGAGCCTGCCCTTTTATAATCAGTCAGCAAATTATTAATTAAGGACTGATTTTTTTACCCTGTTCATGGTTCTGTAAGTCACACACACGTACTCGATAAACTTTGTCTACCTGGTGATACCACATTAATGTTATCTTCCTGAAATAACAGAGAAAAAGAGCTAAGCCAAACAGGCAAGAGTTCTATGGAAAAGAAACTAAAAATAGCGTTTCTGAGCACTGGCAGGGTTCAGCATATATCTCTCAGATCTTCTTGTTGTTCTGAAACAGCATGCTGCCAAAATATGCTTCCAATTTTTGAAAAGCTGCTATGCAGAAATATATTGAACTAATGGTACAGAAGATTTGTATCTCACTGTACACATTTTGTTCTCCTTGACTGTTAAGTGGTGCCGAGACTCCAGGGTTATGCATTTTTCAAATAAATTGACAGAGCTATTGTGGCAATGGGATTTGACAGAACAACACATTCATTTCTTTGCTGATTCAAGTTGCATTGTTGTGCTAAGCCTATTTTATTTTTTTGAACTCTTTCACTGAGTCAGTAAGATTATAAAGCAAATATAAATAACAAAGTAAAGATGATTTAGTATAATAAAAAGGGCTAAAAAATAAAGTCTCATATGAAAGAAGTTGTTTTTTTTTTTTTTAAGACAGAGATGCCTGTGTTCAAAACTGCATCTGACTAGTCAAAAATGCAGATTAGTCACCCTGCGTTCCTTCCTCCTATATTGTTGTTAGACGTTAGGAAGGTTCTTTGACCTTCTCTTTTGATTCAATCTTTACTTTCAAATATTGGAAAATGAGTTTTGCAGAGTTACTTGTAAAGCAGCAAAACCAAATTAACACATTTCCAAGGATTTAAGAGGGAGCCTTTTAAAAATAAACTATTGACTTATTTTTTGTTGTTCAGCACTTTGATTTGTTTTTCTCTCATTCTTTGATTTCTACAGTCTTTATTCTAAAAAGAAGCAGATCAACTTCCTACCAGATTCTGGGTCTTCTCAAGAAAACCTCTGTCAAAGGATCATAAAGTTACCTTAGAAGTGATAACTTCATGATCTGAGACTCTAATATATCATAAGGAGGAACTTTCATTGCTTTGTTATGTGACGAGCTAAGTCTCCTCTCCCTCAGATCTATGCTCAATCTTCTGGGCAAAGCAGAGCAAATTCATTTATTTATTATTCATTTATTGATTATTGGATACTGTTTCAAATACTGGGGATTCATCAGTGAATATATTAGACAAACTAAATTCTTTACTTGTGGAATTTGTAATCTAATAAGAGAAGACAGAAAATCAATGCAGAAAACAAATTCAACACGTTATTGGATATTATGTGATTAGGAGCGTGTATGTGTGTAGAGGTAATTTTGATCATGCTGCCATGGAAAGCCTTACGGAGGTGATGACAGTTGAGTAAAGACCTGAAGGAAGTAAGTGGCTGAGTCACATAGATTTGAAGGAAGATTTCAGGGAAGAGGAAATAGCAAGGGTAAAACACCTGTAGAAGGTCAGTGCACTCCCTCTACTTCCTGCTAATCTTTCCAAATATTTATTGACCCTCTAGTTTATCTGTTTTCTTCTTCAACTGAACAGCTTTTATTTGCCTAGAACATGATTTACACATTCTTTAACTATGCTGAAGCATCTGTCTTATGAACTTTGTCTGGTTTGTGTCCACTGTCTTTCTTCACATTTCTGTGTGATGATATTTTAGACCAATTAAGGAATAAGTGAAAAAATCAGTGAATCACCTATATGCCAAATATGTGTTTGCCTGCTTAAGTATATCCTGTAATTAGTGAAAACTGTTATATATTTGTATTCTGTTTTTTTTTTTCCTATTATCATCATCCATTCTCTCCTTGATTCTTTCTCTCCCTGCTTCAAATAGAGCCCCTCCATTCTCCATAAGTCTACCTACTCTTTCCCAGGGAAGGTTGAGGAGATGAGAATGAGATATTAAGTAACAAGATTCATCCTGTACTTAACCTTACTTCTTCAAAAATCTCACATCATTTGAAATCTAAGTAATTTATCTGAAATTGCTAAAGCATTAACTTCATGGTGTGATGTGTGTGTGTGTGTGTGTTTGCCCACATTTCCTCTAAAAGTTAACATGACAAAATTCAATAAAGCATAGGTAAGTAACATGGAATATCTGCTTTTTTTTTAAGAAAACAATATATTATTCCCATTAATCAATAATATGTTAGAAGTATATTAAATAAACTGAAAACATGTTTGTGTATATAAAGTGACACAATTAATTAAGCCAAGGTGACGGATAACAACAGATATTCCAGAAAAAAACAATACTTCAGTTCATTCCGGATATAAAGAGTGTTGAAAAATCCACTTGGCAGAATGGTTGAGGTCTGTGGCTTAGCATTCAGAGAAATCACTCTGTTCTAGTTTTGCACCAACCCACCATGTGGTTTTAGAAAAAAGAGCCAGAAGAAAAACTACTACTAAGAAATGAAATCAGATAATTATAGGGTTGCAGGAGCCACATCAGCCCTCAGAGTATACAAGTCCTCTTTCAACCACACATTCCACACATAGAAGGAAAGTGGTAACTCAGAAATGATGTAATTTATGTGCGGCCACATGCGAGACCATCAGGAGGCCCAGAGGAAGTACATCGACAGCTACGAAGGAGGTGAGAAAGTGGCAGTAAGCTTTTCCATCCTGGAATCTGTACAGCTGATCGCTTATCTACCAGAGGGGAGAACACATTCACCTAAGTCTTTAAGCCCAGCAAGCTCAGGCACATGTAGAGAATCAGCAACTATGAAAAGAAAATTTATCAGGGAATTGGAACTTGAACCCTTTGCAAGCTATGTTACAGACCTCCCAAGTGACTCATACTAAGAAAGGTAATCATTACAATTATTTTGTTATTAGACATTTTTTGTACCATGGGAAGTACATACACAATGAAAAACGTTTATGTAAAGCAGGATTTCAGTCAATGATAAGTCAGATTTCCTTGACTTGTACAGTCAAGACTGTTTTTCAGAATTTTTATTCTTTAAACAAGCATCCCAGTGACAACCTGCACTCCCTTGTTCACTTTGCCCTTGATTCATATGTAAATTCTCTGTAATTCTGATTATTGGCCCAATTGGTGCATACCGGGTGTCTGAGAAGTGAATCAAGCCCAGATATTTGGGGGAGGAAGCCACAAAGTACTGGGAGCTCATATAGAGTAAAGAAAGGTGACACAGAACAACATCTGGCTCATTACATTCGAATTACAAGATTGTCTCTTCCCTCACAATTTCCCTGAAGTAAACTGTTTGAAGGGGGTAGTGATTTAAAAGGCTGTCTCTGGGGAGTTATTAATCAAGAGACATAGTG